AGAGAATCAGCATTACAGCCAGTGTGAAATAAGATGCAGCAAAGTTTTTATTATTTTATGTTGTCCTTGCTTTATCTAAAAATTTTTAGGGCTTGTTGTACTGTTAGAACTCTAGGACTCGCCGAAAGAACAGTTGTCAGATGAAAGGTCGGACTGTGAATTTAATATATATCTTCTGAAGGTTAGGATATTGATTTACTGGATAGTGTTAGAGTTTTAAGATCTAATTCCAAGACTGTTACCTAGGAAATTGATGAAATTGAGACATTATCAGCCAAGGTGAATGAAAGACGCTCAGGGCATTTAGCCAAGACTGTCAGAGAGTAAGAAGGAACTTGGGCCTGTCTGTCATTTCTTCCCAGGTCACATAAATGCTGTTATTAGGATTGATAGGACTGAAGAGGTAAGAACACCTAACTGCTCGCCTCTTGTACCCTGGCAGAGGGCCAGAGCCAAAGAGGGCTACTGTCTTGACTCCTTAGTGACTGTGTCTTGGGGCTGTAGTCTGTTCATATTGTCTTGTGTGAGGAAGCTGACAGTAGGAATTAGAAAGAGAGATGGTTCCATTTTGGTTAACTGGTACCATTCTACAAAGGAGGATCTAATCCAGCTTGTGAGGATATACAAATTACAGGATATAAATTTGAAATAGCAGGGTAAGGGGAAAGAAGGGGAAGAAAGTGATAGATTTTTCTAGAGAACGAACTGCTTAAATGTTGAGAGAGAACAAGAGATGAGGCTCTCTCTCCTTCTGACCATTGAGGTAGGCAAGTAGGCTTTACACCAAAGCACAATTCAGAAAAGCCACTCTCTGCAGCCCAGCCCCAGAGTGGACAGTGATCTGCTCTCTGCTCCTCCCTCCCCCCAACCCAGAGCAGATGGAAAGACTGGATGCACCTTTTCTCTTAGTGGAAGTCCTCTGTGAATGTTGGTTTCTTAGCTGAGTGTTTGTTAGCTATTGGGCAGCGCTGATTTCAATGTCATGCTTAGCTGTAAAGGACTTGGAGGAATACCTTCTATGTTGTCACTTAAAAATGCTTTAAGGGGCGCCTGGGTGGCGCAGTCGGTTAAGCGTCCGACTTCAGCCAGGTCACGATCTCGCGGTCCGTGAGTTCGAGCCCCGCGTCGGGCTCTGGGCTGATGGCTCAGAGCCTGGAGCCTGTTTCCGATTCTGTGTCTCCCTCTCTCTCTGCCCCTCCCCTGTTCATGCTCTGTCTCTCTCTGTCCCAAAAATAAATAAACGTTGAAAAAAAAAATTAAAAAAAAATGCTTTAAGATTTTAGGGACAGCTGGGTGGCTCAGTTGGTTAAGCGTCCAACTTCAGCTCAGGTCACGATCTCACAGTCCGTGAGTTTGAGCCCCGCATCAAGCTCTGTGCTGACAGCTCAGAGCCTAGAGCCGGCTTTGGATTCTGTGTCTCCCTCTCTCTCTGCTCCTCCCCTACTCGTGCTCTAACTCTGTCTCTCAAAAATAAATAAACGTTAAAAAAATTTTTAAAAATGCTTTTAGATTTTAAAAATGTATTTACTTTATGAGTTGCTGAGTTGGTAGACATCATCTTTATAAAAAGTTAAGGCTCTGTTCTCCATTTCTGTATTTTGGAAAAGTTTTTTATTCATGAACTGCTATTCAAAGTTTTTCTCTTCAGTGATGACTTCCTACACTTAACCTGCAGAACTAGTGTTTTTAGTATATAATTTTGTCATCTCCTATGTATTCATCTCGTATACATTATTATCTCACTTAGCATATTGTATTGTAATTCTATGTCTGTGTCTCTTGCTAGATGGTGACTGCCTCACGGCTGAGTCTTTGTTACCCCATATGCCCCAGGATAGGGTCTGATATGACATAGAGCACAGAGTGCTCTGATATGACATAGAGCATAGAGTGGGTATTCCATAAATGTTGAATGAATAATATCCCAGTTTTAGAGCCTACATATGTTCTGAATGTAGGCCTCAAAACTGGAGTATCGTGTTCATTGGCAAATTCTTGTGCCCTTTTTACTTTTGGGTTAGGGGTAGCCGCCTGATGTGTTTTGTGGTGATCAGACACGTGCTATGTTTGATGGCTTTTTGATAATGAGCCGTGGCAAGGGCCATTATAGTATGACTCCTTGGTTCCAAGGTCATTTCTTTCTCTTGGTTGAGTGTAAGTGGGTTTTACATTTTAAGATGTTAGCTTGTGAAACTGGTGGCTCATGTTTATTATTTATGTTCTGGTGCATTTATCATCGTCTGACCTCTGTAACCCCTGGTTTCCATTTGAATCAAATAAGATTTGTGCACGGCGAGCGCTGGATTGATGCCTAGCATATCTAATGTGCACTGAGCTGATTGAACAGCATTTGACTGTCCTGCTACCCCTTTTTTTTTTTTTTGCTGCAGAATTGTAATTTCTAACTCATCTCAGAAGCTTCGTTGTACTTTTCACCACACAAATCTGATTGCTCTCAAAGAAAGAGATTTATTTTGAAATTATATAGATTATCATTGATGGGAAATTTTTGTCATGTTAATGAGTCTTTATTAGATTTAGTTAAAAGCTTCCTGTTTTTTGTTTGTTTGTTTGTTTGTTTTTTTGTGACTTAAAAGCATCCTGGAAGGAAAGCAAAACCAAAAATGAATTAGTTTAAAGAATCTTTTTGTAAAGTTTGTTTTCTTGGGATGATGATGTTAGGAGGAGAGAACAGGAAGCTGTCCTCACACTTCAGTTTCTTTTTAGTTTCAAGTTGAGATTAGACAGAAAACAGTAAGACCAGTGGCCCATTCCGTCCCCTCCTTTCCTGTCCCAAGCACTTGGTAAGGCTTCATGTGTAGATGTTATGTAGGGCTGAAACTAAGACCTCATACTATGTGTGTCTTGAAATCTAGGGAAATGGAGAGAGCTTCTAATGGCCAGTAACCCTCAACAACTTCAGGTGGCTGACACCTTGATTTTGGCTTTGGAGCAGAGAAACTTTGCTCCAAGAAATCTAGAACTTGGAGATGATAAATGGACATTGTCATAAACCTCTAAGTTTGTGATAAGTTGTTATGACAGCAATAGAAAGCTAATGCAAGTGTTTATGGTTATTTGTGTGTGTTTTCCTTGGTTTTATCCTCTTTGGAAAAATCCAGGAATAGTAAAAACTTTTTATTAAACATGAATGGCAAGAAACATTCCATCCACCTGTTTCCATGTTATAGGAAGCATCCATAACTTTATATACTTAGAGGGAAAGGGTCTGCTCTGTGTTCAACACACAGCTTAACATTTGGATTGATTGCACTCTATTTGGATAAATCAGTGTTTCCCTAGGATCCATTATTATAACACCAAAACCATATCTCCTTAGTAGTCACTGTGAGCTCTGAAAGCAGTTAACAGATCCTGGCCTCTGTTCCAAATGCCTTTATTTTAAAAGTGAGTGATTCTACACCTTTAAAAATTGAGAAATGATAAGGATCAGAATAATGAGAATTGTGTTACAAGTGACTACACTTACATATATTGGTTACTTTACCTTTTAAAAACATTGAAAAACAGTAATTGCTGTATGAGTGGAAAATCATGAAGATGATACATACAGGGGATAGAGTTCAGTACTGTAATAAAATCATAATAATATGACTATGACATACATTTAGTGTGAATAATTGTTCTAGGAATAAGAGGTGAGGGGGTTGTATAAGATATTACAATTACACTGTATACTTACTGCTATTATTGTACAACAGATCAGGTACTTCTCCCCTCAGTGAAGGGGCAGGGAAAGGGGAACCCGGCAGGAAGATTCTCTTGGATCCTCCTGTGACCTGTGATTCCTGACCCAGAGGTGTCAGGAGAGTGTGAATGTTTTCACCATGGTAAACACAAAAGTGCTGGGAATAAAGTGGCTCAAGGTGAACCAGCTCCTACTCCCTGTTGTGAGAATTGCCTCTACATTGAGGAATGTGTGAAAATGGAAACTGGTCAGTTTGGCCCTTGGGACCTCCAACCCTTGACCCGCAGGGCACCGGAAGCCCTTCTGCTGTGCCCTTCTATGGGAGACCCTGATGCTCCTCCCTGTGCTTTATTGCTTCTCCCTTGCTGTTCCCCCATATGCAGGGGCAGGGATAGAGGATTGTTCCTTTTTTTCTTTTTTTTAAGTGATTTTATTTCACAAAAGTAAGATTTAAGGAAGGCCTCTCACCAGGGCCAAAAATTCTCCATTTACTATCTACATTTCTCTTCCTCAAAGATTAACTTGAATTCATAAACAAGTACCTTAGACTGGCTAAAGACATTTAATAAGAATTTGACCCTCAGACCTTAATAATAATCATCACTAGTATGTGCTGCATATTTAGTATGAACCAGGGACTATTCTAAAGACTTTAGGAATTCATGTATTTAATCCTCACAGCAAGCCTATGAAGAATGTTTGGAGAAGTCAAGTAACTTGTTCCAGGTTCCATGGTGATGATGAAGGAAGAGCCAGGACCAAATCCAGCTGGGTCTGCTCTGGGACTCGGACCCTCAGCCACTGTGCTGAGTTGCCTTTCCTGGATACTTGATAAGGATTTGATTTAATTTGTTTGCTTTCTTCCTAATATCTAGCAGTACTACCTGTAAGGGATGGGACCGCAAGTGAAGAGGGTGAGGGCATTTGAAGGAGAAATGGCTGTAGGGCGGTTGTGATGGGACTTTGGAAAGAGACTTGGGGAGCATTCTCTGCAGCCATTGTTTTCCTGCTCATCAGCATCTTGAAATTACTGATCTTATAATCAGCATGAGAACTTAACCAAGAACCTACAACTACTGTTTCTCTGCTCCTCTCTGAACATCAACATCATTTTTCTTTTAGTGTTCTAGTCACAGAAAGCTCTTAAGTATATTTATGTATATATGTAATAAGCTAAATATTTATTAAGCATTTAAATTTCATTTCAAATAACACTTGACAAATATTCTTGAAGCGAAGGCCAATGAAAAACAACTAATGTCTATAATCACCCTTTTTTTCCCCCTCACAGTATTGGCTGGATCCTGCAAAAACCCTTGCTGAACACAAAGAACTAATCAACAGTAGGTATTTGATGTTAATTTTTTTAAGGGGTGCCTTGAAAATGATACAATGTCTGTGATTAGTTGGATGCAGAGATATGCTTTAGTGCTACAGGAATGAGTACTAGTACTCGAGTACCAGAATATGGAAATGGGTGTTGTGTGCATTGCCAGACTCTGACTCCAAACCCCGATTAAATTTTTGGGTATAAAGAAACTGAGTGGATCTAAATATTGAATTTGGCTTGGGTATGCCTGTGCTTGACTTGTCAGTGATTTTTAAAATTTTCTTGTCTTTAAAATTTCACGTTAAAACGTAGAGAGGCATTGATTTGGAAGAAAAGGTGGACATCTGACCTTCTAAAGAGCTTGAGTTTCTTGGGTTAAGGAGTGGTTTTGTCATTCACACTCTTATTTGCTGAGGCAGTAATTAAGGACTGCCCTTATGTCCTGAAAGATTTCTATGACTGCAGAAAGGATCCATCTGTTTATAGGGGCTACCTTTTAGTTTTAGCAATATGAATCTTATTAGGTAACTGAGAGTATAATTAAGGTTATACTCCATAACACAGATTTTTATTTATAAAAGTATATGCCCGTGTGCACATACATGCGATCCTTAAGTATGTGAAAGGGTAGTTATATTTTAATTATCCTTTTAAAAATATGATAAAATATATAACATAAAATGTACCATGTTAACCACTTTTGAGTGGCATTAAATACATTCATTGTGCAACCATTACTACTTTCTCCAAAAATTTTCCATCATCCCAAACTGAAACTTTGTACTCATTAAACTATTTTGCTTTAATGTGAAAATTATTTCTAATAAGATGTAGTAGATTCATTGGGCCTGTATGACTCCCCATTCTGAATCTGTACTTCATGTGTTTATATAATGGCTTATTCATGGTGATAAAATTGGTTGCTTCACGGACCTGAAGGGCAGGAACAAAGCTGTGCCTCAGAAAGGAACTGGAAACTAGGAATTGCAAAACTATCAGGAACTCAGCAAGTACTATTTCTCTGAACATTAGCATCATTTTTGTTTCTCTCTGTGTATCCATGTCTATGGGGGAAGCCTCCACAGTTTCCAGGTTATAGCTGTAGCCATAGGCAGACTTGACTGGCTGTCTCTGAATGCAGGTCCCAGTTCTATGGGAGGGTACATCTGACTAGCCCAGTTTGAGTCAGGAACTCACCTCAGTCTATTCGGCCATGTCTGGGCTTCTTCAAGGTCAATACAAACATAGCTGCTAGGGGGCATTCTGGATGAGATTGTGCAGTGGTTTCAGAAACGTGGGCTTGGGGCCAGCCTGTGGGGGTGAGAGAGAACCCTCAAAATATATACCTTAGGTATCACCAAGTTCTGCCTACTCAGCCTACGCAGGAGTAAGTCGTAATTCATAAGGGGTTCATGACTTGCCATGGGTGAGAAGCTAGTTGGTAGCAGGTCTTCTGATTTCCAGTGCTTCTGTATTTCTAGTCCTCTTCCTGAATGAGCTGCCTGCTAAAGGCCAAGAGGGGAGGGATGAGGACGCAAGGAGTGAGCTATGAATGCAGGCAACTTCCATGAGGTATCTGCATATAAATGGTGGGAGTGCCAATTTAAAAAGTGCCATCCTTCAGGATGTAGAAATCTGTACTTCCCTCCAAAATTCAGGTATAGTAATAAATATAGTAAATCTATCTTTTTCAACCAAATACTTAAAATAAATACCAGTTTAAAAATTAGAAAAATGTCAGGAATGGTTATTTTAAAACAAACTCACAGGGTTTTTATTAACAAGTTGAGATTTCTATCCAAGTGGTGAAGAAAAGTGTAAATTATTTGGGGTACACTATTGGTGTTCCTAAGTACATTTGAAGTATTTATTTCTTCACATGGTATGAAATATTCTTTTTAAATATCTATAATCTGTATAATTGCTTTTTAATCCTAAATATATATCTTCCTATCAAAAATTTGATGCATAGTAAGAATAAAACACCGATAGTAAAGGAAGATGATGTAACTAAAGAATACATAATCTTTATATTTCATCTCATGAAATAATTTGATAATTAATGAAGGAAAATGGCTGTCATGCCTCAAGTAGATCAGTCAGAAAGAATGTCTGTAATAATGATGGAGTATTTGCTAATTGCCAGGATTCTCATGGGTAAGTTTTGATTTTTCTTGGTATTTCTTGATATTTCTCCTTCTCATTGAAGACTTACTATTATTAAAGGCCTTGAAATTAGTCACAAAAGGTATAGTAGAGGATTTCCATTTTCTTTTTTTTTTTTTTAATTTTTTTTTTCAACGTTTATTTATTTTTGGGACAGAGAGAGACAGAGCACGAACGGGGGAGGGGCAGAGAGAGAGGGAGACACAGAATCGGAAACAGGCTCCAGGCTCTGAGCCATCAGCCCAGAGCCCAACGCGGGGCTCGAACTCACGGACCGCGAGATCGTGACCTGGCTGAAGTCGGACGCTTAACCGACTGCGCCACCCAGGCGCCCCAAGGATTTCCATTTTCTCACTTCTGTATTTTTTGCTAAACTAAACAATATTAACTTACTTTACATGAATATTTCTTAAAGGTAGATTCTGTTGAAAGAGATTCAAGATAATAATAACTTAGGAGTTTTCTTCATCAGTGCCTAATATTTATAGTCAGTCTTAGAACAGGAAGCCAAAAAATATCTGATCAGATGTATCCTTGCTCCAGAGTGTCCTTTTCCATAGCCTTAGTTTGATCTATAAAACAGTGATGTGTGTGAAAGTATTTGCTTACTCTGAAGGCATTATAATTCTTTTCCCTGAGAGGCTATAAGGAATAGTGGCCATAAAGCACTGAACTCTAGGTATTAGCAAACTTGGTTCTCAACCTTGTGATCTTGGCCATGTTGTTTACCACTTTGGATATTTACCTGTCTTCCCTATGTTACCAGGTGGTTTTGCAAAATCACATGCTTACGAAATGTTTTTATACATTATCAAATGCAGTCAAATAGTAGTGATGCCTTATATTTAGGACACAGACCATTTTATATGCAAGTGGGAAATAGCTGATTTGAGCCAAAAGTCCTTAAAGAAAATTTGCCAAAACTGAATGTTTTTAATTGTGTATTTTTTGAACTTCTGCTTAACTGCTCATCATTAAGCACGTTTGAAGCGGCGAGGCTTGGTCAGTAGGGTGTAATCTGTCACGTTGCAGAGAATAAAAGCAACTCTGGAATCTGGACAGGGCCTTCTTCCCTTTGTGCACTGTCTCCACAGCATCTGTGCTCCTCCCGGCCCCTAGATCCCAGCCCCCCGTGGCCTGCAGGCACAGGCGGACCCATCTGCTCAGCAACACAGAGCTGACTGACAGAGATGGATCAGCAGACGGTGGACTTCCTGGTTCTTTTAAATATTTAATAATCTGTGCCTCCCTGACATCGATGTTCAGGGGTAAAGGTGTATTTGTCAAAAATATAAACATAGTGATTAAGTGATCATAGAAATTAAATATATGGAATCAACTCTAATGCTAAAAAATTATAACAAAAAATTTTTAAATTCAGTTTTTAAAAAAGCTCTAGCTTAAGGAACACCTTGTCCAGAAAGGCATAGATGAGGGGAGAGGAGCAAGGCCCTACTGTCGGTTAACTTCTGTATGCCAGGAACAGGGCTTCCACAGACACAGCACATGTGTGTCATGATAACAATAAATAATAACAAAATTTGTATATTAAAAATGCATTATGACTTTATGACCTGTTCAGCTTAACTTCCTTTCCCCAGCCTCTAAATTTGTCCCTTTTTTTTTACTCAGTAAAAATGAAAATAGACTGGGGTTACTTTGTGTCAGTTACACACTGTCAGAGACTTGGGGTCACAATATGTAAGTAGAAATATTTTTACTGACATGTATCTTTGACATCCTTTTTTTTTGTGTGGGAGAGCTTTTGTTGAAGAAAAAAATTAGAAATTATGACCACTGATTAATATACCGGGTAAGAAATACATTTTAAAACAGATTTAATATAAGATCTAGTTACTACACTGCACAGAAGTTTTGGAAACAGTACAGGTTAGATTCAGACCCTCTGAAATAGAAATATGTCTAGTGAGAGCATAATATGATGTTTTTGGCACCCAGGGGGCTTGTGTTCTCTTGCACAGTATGAATGCTGAATTATATTTTATGTTTCCCCATGTAAGTACAATTCCCGCTTTATTCCATATATATATATATTTATATATATATATATATATATATATGATATTTGTGCACATTTTTTTTTTTTGGTATTTGTGCACATTGTTCTTCTGTGTGTAGTAAATGACTGAGATGAGAAATGTCTTCTTAAATATATAAGAACACATTCTCAGGGGCGCCTGGGTGGGTTGGGTGTCTGACTCTTGATTTCAGCTCAGGTCTTGATCCCAGGGTCATGAGATTGAGCCCTGCATCAGGCTCCGTGCTAAGTGCGGAGCCTGCTTGAGATTCTGTCTCTCCCCCTCACTCTGCCCCTCCCCTGCTTGCTCTCTCTCTCTCTCTCTCTCAAAAAAAATTTTTTTTAATAAATAAAATTTAAAAACTCACATTGTTAGATTCAGAAAAGTTTAGGAATGAGACAAATATTGCTTATAATCCTACCACATAGCCTCACTGATGATCTTTTTTTTTTTTTAAAGGGTAGAGATACATATGGAAAGAAAATTATTAGTTTTTCTACGAGTGGAATTTAAGTGTTCTCACACACAAATAAAAAAAAGTAAATATGTAAATATGTGAAGGACAAGTGTGTTATAGGCGAATCCTTTCATAATGTTTACATATAGCAAATCATCACATTGCACATTTTAAATGTGTTGCAATTTAATTTGTCAGTTATACCTCATGAAAGCTGTGGAAAAAAAGTTTCCAGTTCTGCTTCTCAAAGTTTGCCAGTGTCTTTTCTTGTGTATTCTTCTAGGGTGGAATACATATTTTCATAGATAATTTCTTCTTCACAAAAGGGATATTTCTGCCATCAGAAATAGATTAGAAATCTTTCCCAGTCAGCACATGGAGTTCTCCCTCTGCCCATTTAAACAGTTGCAGGGTGCCATATATACTTCCTGTGGTTGACATAAACGGTCCACCTGCTGCTAAGCATTTAAGTTTGGATACTATATCCGTTTATTTGTATCAGCTTTTTACAGATGCATATTTTTGTACTTTTTGCAATAGTAATAGGTGGGTGGTTTAAAAACCATTTGTTTTATCATTAACTTTTCTTCATTATGAAGAAAAATACATGTATGTTGTAGAAAATGTGAAAATGGGAAAATTATGAATAAATAAAAACTGTGCATAACCTCACTAACCATAGATAAGAACTGGTAACATTCTGATATATTTGATCTTCTCTTTTTTTCCTGTGTTCATGAACACATAGATGTGTACCTACTTAAATACCAATAGTTGTCCTACTGTTACATAATTCTCAATCCTATTTTTTATTTTATATTTTCTTGGGTGTTTAAAAGTTCTTAGTATAATTTTTTTAAGTTTATTTATTTCTAGAGAGAGTGAGCAAGTATGTGCATGGGGCAGGGGAAGAGAAAGGGAGAGAGAGAATCCCAAGCAGTCTCTGCACTGTCAGCGCAGAGCCTGGTGTGGGGCTTGATTCCAGGAACCACAAGATAATGGCTTGAGCTGAAATCAAGTCAGGCGTTGAGCTGACTGAGCCCCCAGGGGGGCCCCATGAGTGTAATTTTTAAAACAACTTTATTGGGGCGCCTGGGTGGCGCAGTCGGTTAAGCGTCCGACTTCAGCCAGGTCACGATCTCGCGGTCCGTGAGTTCGAGCCCCGCGTCGGGCTCTGGGCTGATGGCTCAGAGCCTGGAGCCTGTTTCCGATTCTGTGTTTCCCTCTCTCTCTGCCCCTCCCCCGTTCATGCTCTGTCTCTCTCTGTCCCAAAAATAAATAAACGTTGAAAAAAAATTTATAAAACAACTTTATTGAGGTACCTTTAACATATAAAAATTATATAAATTTAAGGTGCACAGTTGAATGTTTCAATATATGAGCCGGTCACGGTGGCACCTGCCTGTAGTCCCAGCTACTCAGGAAGCTGAGGCAGGAGGATCGCTTGAGCCCAGGAGTTCTGGGCTGTAGTGCGCTATGCCCATCGGGTGTCCGCACTAAGTTCAGCATCAATATGGTGACCTCTCGGGAGTGCGGGACCACCAGGTTGCCTAAGGAGGGGTGAACCAACCCAGGTTTGAAACGGAGCAGGTCAAAACTCCCGTGCTGATCAATATATGTATATATCATAAAAAGATCATCACAATCAAGTTAAATAACTTATCTATCACCTCTGCATAATTGCGTGCATGCGTGTGTGTGTGTGTGTGTGTGTGTGTGTGTGTTTGCATGTTATCATTAACTGTAGACACCATGCTGTTCATTAGATCCCCAGAACTCACTCATCTAGCATAACTGAAACTTTGTACCCTTTGGCCAACATCTCCTCATTTCTCCCTCCCAGATTCCCTGGCAACCACCATTTTCTCTCTGCATCTATGTATGTGACTATTTTAGATTCCATATATAAGTGAGATCAGGCAGTATTATTTTTTCTCTGTGTCTGGCTTATTTCACCTTGCATAGTGTTCTCCAGGTTCATCCATGTTGTCTCAAATGAGAAGATTTCTTTCTTTTTTATGGCTGAATAATATTCCTGTGTGTGTGTGTGTGTGATGTGATGCGATATATATAGATAGTATCCATTAGTTCACTGATGGACACTTACGTTGCTTCTATATCTTAGCTATTATGATTAATGCTGCAATGAACATGGGAGAGCACATACATCCCCGAGATCCTCATTTCATTTCCTTTGGATAAATACACAGTAGTGGGATTGCTGGATCATGTTGTAATCCTCTTTTTAATTTTCTGAGGATTTACCTACTGTTTTCCATAATGGCTGAACCAATTTACATTCCTAGCAACAGTATACAAGGGTTCCCTTTTGTCCATATCCTTACCAACACTTTTGTCCTATTGCTAATCGCCATTCTTATAGGCGTCTGGTGATATCTCATGGTTTTGATTTGCATTTCCCTGATGATTAGTGATGTTGAGTATCTTTTCATGTGTCTGTTGGGCATTTGTATGTCTTCTTTAGAAAAATGTCTATTCTGGTCCTTTGCCCATTTTTAAATTGGTTTGTTTTTTGCTATTGACTTGTAGGGGTTCCTCATGTATTTTGGGTATTAGCCCCTTATTGAATATGCAGTTTGCAAATATTTTTGGTGAGTGTAATTTTTAATAGTTGTATGATATTACACTTCTACTTTGACTAATTTTTAATATGAAATTTAACTTTTCTTATTTTAGCTGGACCTCCATATACTTTGTATTTTGGTATTAAATTCTATGCTGAAGATCCATGTAAGCTTAAAGAAGAAATAACCAGGTATAGTATTGACTTTGCTTTTGAACAATTCATGTATGGCATATACAGAGGGCTTTATTTAATACAAACTGGGGTCAAACATTTGAATGTGTGTCTACCTTGTTTTGTAATGCATCTCCACTGGGAGTTAAATTTAAACTAGCATTGCATGAGGAAGATCAGTGTCTGATGATAGATGTGTGTGAACAATGGCATGAACCCGGGTGACATGATGATAGATTTTGCATCTGCTGTGATGGGATATTTCTGTATCATTATTGTGAAGACTGCATTTGGCCTTTGTAGTCAGTAGCCGTTTGAACTGTGTAAAAGAAGGATATTTTGATACTCAGTTTGCATATGTAAATACAAATTTGAAGAGCCAGTTATTTCTCTTTATTTGGTTATAGCTTAAATGTGAGTTGTCCAGGGCTTTTGTTTATCTCCACAGGAAATGAAAAGATAATTGCTTTCAGTATAAAGGAGAAAAACAACAACAACAACAACAGGGTTTCACAGTGTATTCTTTCACCTTTGTCATCAAATATTTTATTTCAGTTATGGCAGAATTTCCAGTTGGTATTGATTATATTATTAAAAATAGTCCATGCCAACATTTGAAAGTGGCTTATAAAGAGCAGGCAGTAGTGTTAGGTTTTCACTGAACTCCACTAGACTGTATGTGGTAGCAAACAAAAGGATTTTCCCTGACTTAACGCTAAGTGGTCAGCTTTCTTAGTGAACCCGTATCACTGGCTCAAGGAAAGCTGAATGCGTTATTCAAAACCTTGGAAATTGTGTCTTTGATAACGAAGGTGGTCTGTGGTTTTGTTCCTATTCCATCCTTTCATGGTTTTCCTTAGATTCTTTTGTCTTGATTCTGGACTGCACTCAGAAGAGTGAGAAAAGAGGAGGCGAAGTGGACCTTTCCTGTGCTTCTCTGGAGTGCTGTAATTAGGCCTCATTTTTAGAACTGTGCCAAGCTTCATTCACATCTTCCATCTCCACTTTATAAAGGACCACTTTTAAAGGAGGGCTGTCCTGTGAGGCCTTCCAGGAACACACCTCTATGGGGGAAGGGCCGTTGTGTTGGGAAGGAATTAAGGAGAGGGGTCATATTTACATTAGAGCTTCGTGAATAATCTTTGCAGTTGAGGGATTTCTGAGTTATGGGCTCATGGGGAAACTGAGTCCAAGTGGTAAACACACACAAAGGCACACACACCCATGTTTGTAACTTATTAGGAAATTGCAAGGAAATAACATTTTATGAAAATACCAGGAAAGTCCTTCATTTTGAGGTTGTCAGTAACCTCTCTGTGCCTCACTTTCCTCAACTGTAAATTTGGAGATATACCTGTCTCATAAGGTTTTGTAAGCATGAAATGGTGTACTAAAAATAATGTAAAGCTTGTGTTAGTTGGCTGCATTTGGTCAGTAAGTGCTTGATAAATGGTAGTACTTACTATATCATTCTCTCCTCGCTCCAGCAGGTCAGTGGAGTTACATCTTGAGTGAGGGTTGGGTTCCAAAAGATACTCGATTTATTATTCATAAGGAGAGAAATGGGTGTTTTAGAATGCATTATTTTAAACCTGTTCACCTAATATTATGAACAGAAATTTCCCTTCAGAATCTACTACCAGCTCGTGAGCAGAATGTATAGATTTGTGGGTAACGTACAACCTCACGACATATTCCCTGCAATCTTCTTTGCCTCACATATTAGACCAGATCATGTAGCTAAGAACCAGATTACAGAGTTGGCTTCCAGCTAGTAACCATGACCTAAAATAATTTATTTTTATTGCCCAGAGCATATAGTTGAGCTTAGGTAAGTTTAATATGACTCAATATGATATCACTACATACTGATTTTTAGGATGTCCCGAAGATTAAGTCATTAATTTGCATGAATAGGTTCCTTTAAATGGATAGGCATCATGGACCTTACAAAGGGAGTCAATTGCATGAGATGATTTTGGCAAAAGTGAAACTAAAACCCAAACCCCAAATCTCCCAATATATGCTATGAAAGGAAAAGTGTACTTAGGTCAGCATTTGCAAGTTGAACATTTATCTTGCTTCAATTCTCTGGAAAACTCTTCTAGCCTACTGTGTATTGGCTCTTGGGTTGTTCGTAAGTTTTGACATGAAAATTAATGCTATCTAAAGTCTCTTCTCTTCATCGGCTCTTTAGATAATTTGTGTCCTCATGGTATCTGTTAAGCTTATTTTTAATTCTGATTCAAAATATTACAACAGCCTTCCACATATTTTGGATCATTTATAGCTCTGTATCCCCTGCACACTTGATAAGCATAACACATTTTGGTTAAGAAGACAGGCTTTGGGGGCGCCTGGGTGGCTCAGTCGGTTAAGCATCCGACTTCAGCTCAGGTCATGATCTCATGGTTCATGAGTTCGAGTCCCACGTTGGGCTCTATGCTGCCAGCTCAGAGCCTGGAACCTGCTTCATATTCTCTCTCTACCCCTCCCCTGCTCATGCTCTGTCTCTCTCTCTCTCTCTCTCTGTCTCATAAATAAATAAACATTAAAAAAAAAAAAAGGAAGACAGGCTTTGGAGTTAGATAGGCTGAGGTTTGCATCCTTGCTCTGCCACTCACTAGCTGTGTAAATTTGAGAAAACTATGTAACCTTTTAAAGTCTCCGTTTTCTCATCTGCAAAAACGAATTAAAGTATTTTTTCAAGAAGACAATGAAAGGAATATATAAGATGATACACAGGCCAAGTACTGACCCTAACACAAAAATATAATGTTCCATAGATGATAGGGGTAGTTGAAGTAAAAATAATGATAAGTACTTTATATTTTCAAATTATTGATTAAGAAATTAGGGAGGAAAAGACCAGCTTGGATTGGAGTCCTGGGTTGGGTCTTCCAGCTTAAAGTCAGTCCACTAGTCACAATTTTCTGGGTATAGTTGTTCATTTAATTATGAATCCTCCTACATCTGCCCTCTTGCCTACATTTCTTGAATTTGTGTGTAAGGACAGAACTCACTCATTCAGCTACCATCATTTAATAACTACATGGAGCACTGTGTCCAGTGCCCTGAGTACCAAGTAGATTCAGTAGTGACCCAAGAGAGAATTTCCGTCTTGCAAAGAGGGAGGACAGAGAGACTGTCTACTGCTTTGCTGGACGACCCTATCTGTGATGTCGCTGGAAGCTTTCTGAACCTTCAAGGATCTAAGAACAGTTTCTAAAAAAGAAAACAATGTTCCAAATGACTCGTTCATAATGGACACTCTTTAACTTCTAAACATTGGTATTTGGGGGTGTCTAGGTGGCTCAGTCGGTTGAGCGTCCGGCTTTGGCTCAGGTCATGATCTCATGGTTTGTGAGTTCGAGCCCCGTGTCGGGTTCTGTGCTGACAGCTCTGAGCCTGGAGCCTATTTCGGAATCTGTGTCTCTCTCTTTCTGCTCTTCCCCTGCTTGTGCTCTCTCTCTTTCTCTCTCTCGAAAATAAACATTAAAAAATTTTTTTAACATAGGTATTTGATTTTTTAATTTTGTTTTGTAATGTTTTAGAGCAGCCTTTGGAGACTGAAATTAAGCTTTTTTTTTTTTAATTTTATTACTTTAATATGGAAATTCCTATTTTTCACTTTGTGAAGATTAGTTTGTTTTAGCTTCTTTACCAGCTGAATGGCCTGCAGCTACATGTTCATGTCCAGAGTTTCTGTCCCCTCTAAGTGAGGATAAGGGTTTTCGATACAACACAGTTGAGACAAGGGTCACATTCTGGGATGGATGCAAAAGAAATCTGTGAGCCTTAAAGGATTATACAAATGTAAGGTGATATTATTGCTACTTGTTCCTGTATTGTAATCATGAGTTTTATACTTTGAGATGAAAGTGTTATTCCTGATTTTGCCACTTTTTCTTGAGAATCAATGTGTGCTTCCTCTACTATTTTTCTCCTTATTAAGCAATACATGCCATTTTCCCCTGCAATGTTCAATATTTTGTGTATCATAAACATTTCCCTCTGTCCTTCACAGTGAAGTTTTATCTGAAATGATTAGGCTCCTATCACATGCTAGGTTCCCTCTGTGTGGGAGGCAGAAAACAATCCTGCTTCCCTGTAGGTAGCTACTCTCCTCTTAGATTCTTCAGTGTCAAATTCACCTGGCACTGAAATCAGACTTCTCCCTGTCCCCAGATTGCTGTTTTCTCACCGGGTCCTAAGTCGCTGGAAGGTGTGCTTCAGGCGTGTTGGTGTGAGCATCTTTGGCCACTGAATTTCAGGGAACCTCGCTTTTGGGCTCTGGAAAGAATGGGGTGTCTCTGCCCCTTCTTGAAGCAAACCTCTGATACTTGCTGAATTGTTAATGGTGCTCAACAGCTTGTACATCGTTGGTGTCAGCTCAGCTCTTTGCAGTGAATGTCAGATAAGCAGAAAACTGTGAAGCCAATATTTTAAGCCCTTCACTTGTGTTGTACTGGGAGTAGTGCGGTGGCTGTGGACAGGGTGGAAGACCCAGCTTTTTTACCCCAGGGCTCATGATCTAGCTAGGAAGACAGTGTGTATACACCAAGATATTAATTTACATGAAAATATAACCAATACCTGCTTTAAGAAGCCTCTTCTTTGCACCAGAATGCCTGGAAAGCTTCCTTATTAAGTGGATCATCTTTAATGAGTGTTCCATTTTTCTCCAATAGGGGTATAGTATAACCAGGGTCACAGTAGAGTTGATCATCAAAACCCTCACACTTTGGAGAATGATGAGAAGAGCTGTTAATAGTTATACATGTATAACAGGCATAAAGAAGATCTGTCCTAGGCAAACTGGCATGCAGTTTCCCCCTAATTAAAACCACAGATAAAAAGGATTCAAGCATCCAATCATAGCCTTAAGCAGAGTAACAGAGGGAAAGACTCACCAACTCTAAATTTCTGATTTAAATAAAATATTAAATGTACACTAAGTCCCATAAAATTGACAAAATAAGTTATATGCAGTTAGTTAAAAATAGGCCCTGACATAATGATAAAATATTTGTTTAGTATATGAAAATATGATTCTACTGTATCATGAATTTGTCATATAAAAAACTGATATGATGCTTGCTGTGATAAAGATTAAGCAAATTCTTAATTAAAAATAGTTTACTTGTCTTTTGATTTTAGTGGATTTTTCTTTAATGCAATGACTTAAAGATCTCTGGTATCTTTAAAAGGCAGGCTGTCCAGAGAAGTTTGAACAGATGTCCTTTTTTCTTTTTCTTTGTGAATTTCTCAGAGACAGCAAAGAGTGTTCAGTTTTTTCCATTTCAGCCATCTGTCTACCTATTCAATTTGTATATCTATCCATCAAGCCAACATTTATTGAGCAATTACTATGTGCCAGACCTATATACTGAGACTACAGTCACTGATGGGATATGGTCCATTTCTTTGTATCTGTTTGTCTTTCTCTCAGTTTCAGTTCTTTGTGTTTTCATCCCCCTCTGTTTCTCTTTCCTCTTCTCTTTGAAGCAAACTCTTGTGGGATTAGGTTCCTCTGTTTCTGTATTTGGCAAGCGATTTGACTGTTCAGTCAGATATTATAAAAGTCTTAATAGAACAAGACAAATATGCATCTGTGACCCATTTCCTTAAAAAAAAAAAAAAACACTTCAGGAAAAGAAATTCCAAGTTAACAATAGAGAGAGTGTAGCTAAATAAATGTTAATTTCCAACAAGCAGTAGTAATTCTAGCAAAATTTGTCTTCAGTGTATAAGCTTTTGTATTTAAGTTCTACTAATAGTACTTTACTCTGCTTTTTTCCTCCTCAAGGGGAGGATAGATGATTATAACAAAGTGGATGTGATATCCAAGATGAGCATTCAGGTCATGGGGAGTAGTTAAGTAGGGCTAGAAAAGTAAACGCAAGTTAGGGAGTAGAGATAGTCATTGGTTAATGGCAAGAAATTTTGGCTCAAGAAGCGCAAGTCTTCCGAGGATTTTTTTTAAACTGGTTGTAGTTTATTTTTCTCTTGGTGCAAGCCACCGAGTTGCAGAGTGTCAGGAAGGCTTGAGTGTGGCTTGGAGAGTAAAGAGTGGGGTTCTCTCAACTTCCTTTTTGCTGTTTTGCTGTAGAAGAACCCAACCACTTTTGCTGGCTGCAGCTTGCCTAGTAGTGGGTAGCAGAGGGGAGGGAAGGGCTCTGATGAGCCCAGCACCTCCTGAAGCCTGCTGGCTGCTGGTGGCCACCCAGGACTGGGGCCCGATGTTGGCCTTGTCAGGCTGGCCACCAGGCTGCCTCCTCCTGGCTTCCAGAGCCAGGTCACAAGTATTGGTGCCGCTGGAGGCCTGGGGGAGATTCTGAGCATTCTGGGGACTCCCAACACTGTAGCCATGGACTGGAGGGTGGACTTGGTGAAAAAGAAGCTTGCCTACCAGGATTTGGGTTGGTGTTGGGGAGACCCGGGTGGTGAGGCGTGGCTTCTCCAGGATGCCCTGCATTTCCCAGGAGCTGTTATTGGGCATGGAACCTTGGTGGCACCGGAAATAATCGTGGGTGGCCAGGAGGGAGCCATTGGAGGGGATGACTGCTGTGCTGTCACTTTTGGGCCTGTGGAAACCAGTGCAGCCACCTCTTGTGGGCCTTCGTGCATGATCACCAGTGGCAGGGGTGCAGATGGGGACCCTAGGCCATAGAGCCCATTTGCAAAGGAGACTGAGGCAGGCCACTCCAAGACCGAGGCCTGCATGTCACAAACTCTCTTAAGGATCTGAATTTTATTCTGAAAGCAAAATGAAATTTTTTAAAGGTCTTATTTTTTCCAGGGAGTGATATGATCCTATTTTTCTGTTAAGAATTTCATCTACTTTTCGGGGAGGTTGTTTGGAAGGGAGATAAGTGTGAATGTTGGCAGAGCACTGAAGGTTTCAGAAATCGGGTGGATAGTGACCTGGCGTGGATTCCAAAAGACAACAGATTTAGTGACTGAATGCACATGCCAGGGTTGCACATTGTTGGTAGGTTTCTCTTACTTGGATATATGGAGACTGTGGTGCTGTTTACTAAAATGGGAATTCAGGAAACACAAGGTATTAAGAACATTATCTCTTAAGCTTGTGGATGCAATCAAACTTGGTCCAGTCTTCTAGAAATAATCAGAGTAGTATCTAACATTTGGATTCCCTCCCTATGGCCTTTGGTTGTGAGCATTTGGAGAAAAGAAACTTAATACAGCTGACTTTTATAATTCATTTCCTTTGCCCTTTTCCTGCCCTTCCCAGTGACATCAAGAGTTGGCTTGCAAAGAAAGAGAAATTACAAAGGACACAGCCTGGTGCATGAGTGTGTGAATGCATGCTGCATTGTAGGTAATGGTGGCTGAGGACGGTGTTGATGGTTCATTGTATTGGTTCATGTATCTCTGGCTTCTCTCACCCTCACTCCACAGGCAGAAAGACTGGATGGGGGAGAGAAGGAGGGCAAGCCAGCCAAAGTTGCATAGCATCCTGATTAAGAGGTTCTAGAGTCGTATTGCCTGGGTTCCAGTTCTGGCTCTGCTGCTTAACTAGTTGTGACATCTTGGATGAGATACTTGACTTCACATCTTTGTGTCTATTAGTTACTTCATTCTGCAAAATGGAGACAATAATAGTACTGGCCCTATTTTAAAGTCTTAACATAAATTACTGTATGTAAAACACTTAGAATGAGTTACTATATTAACAGTATTTGGGACAGTGGGTGGCACTATTCTAACAGGTTCTTTTAGGCAAATGGAATGAACAAAGCCATAGATAATGGGCATGAGAATTGATGGAATTGCACCATAATGACCTTTTTATCCTGTACCCATGGTTTTAGACCCTGTAGGTAACACATCATAAAGGTTGTTCCTACCAGTAAGACCGTGTCATAGTTGTAGTGGCAATGGCATTAATGAGAATGGTGAGAGTAGCTTTTATGTAACTTCCACATTGACCTCATGAGGTGTAGACACTTCACTGTCCCAGCTCTGCAGGTGCAGAGACTGGCTGTTGGAGAGGGTCAGTAGCTGCCCAGATGAATACTGGAGCTGGGAAGCAACCCATCCAGTCTCACTTGAGAGCCTACACTTTTGAGCCACTACCCTGTATTGCTTACGTGTGTTTAAATAGTTCCTGTTCACTCAACAGCCCCCTCATAAAAGCACAGAAGTGGCTTTATTTTCCTTCAAGGTGATTGGCTGTTGCTGTGATTATCAGAGACTGAAACTTCAGGTCTGGGTAGTGTAAGATATCATTAATCTCTTTTTTCCATTTCTCTTTTAGATATCAGTTTTTCTTGCAGGTGAAGCAAGATGTCCTTCAGGGCCGGCTGCCCTGCCCTGTCAACATCGCTGCTCAGCTGGGAGCATATGCCATCCAGTGTAGGTTCCACTAAAGCATATTGAGAAAAAAAAATGTGAATGTTTCTTTTTAAGCAAGTTTAGGTACTAAAGTTCTTCTTATCAAGTGATATTTTCCTAAAAAAATATTTAGTCAAAATTCAAGTTTTAATCAGTGTTTTCTCAGAAGAGTTAAAAGTGAAACCAGTTACATATCCCTTGTAATAGGTCACATTGGAGTTTTAGTCACAGGAACAGCATTGATTCTTAATTAGGTGGAGTGTCTGAAAAGCCCTTCTAGTCTACATCCCACCTGAGTTTTATTGATCCCCTCAAGCTGTTTTGTCTCAGAGATCACATTGCTCCCAGGCAGCTGTTGTGAAGATTCCATGTGGTCAGATGCCAGTGACCGTTCAGGGTGTGGCACACATTTGTCACTCATTGCGCTTCAGCTCTTGGCATCAATATGGCAACCATGTGGGGGAAGCTCCACACTGCATTGTCATTTTGGAGGCTGAGGATGTTTCCACTTACAAATACTGAGTCCTTTCTAAGAATGAAGCCAGGGATGGGGGCAATGAGACAGCATTTTCCTTGCCTTTATGGCATTTCCAGTTCAGAGATGGTGTGGAAAGAAATATCCTAGGAAAAATGGCACATAGTTGAACTGGGTTGGACTTGGAAGGTGTATTAACATAGGGAGGAAAACTTTAATAAATGTAATGATGAGCTTCTGGTTTGATTTTGCTTCTTTGTATAAACTAATATACAGCATTATGTTAAATTTCCCTGATTGCTGTTTGGGGCATATACATTTTGATTCATATACTCTTGATGCCTTTTTCTGAGAGGATATGTTGACATCATCATTGTTTTTTGCCTCTAGCTTTTCTAATATATGCACAATAAATTCTATTTATACCATTTTATTTCATGCAACCTGGTAAGAATAATTGAAATGAGAATGATAATTATAGTCTTTCCGAAAGCAAAAATATAGAACTTATGTTCTTAAGACAAGATTTTATTTATACTGTTCATATATACTCACCAGTTGTTTTTTATTAAAATTAGTTATGTATGAATTTATTAATAAGACATTTGAAGAAAAATTTTTGGCATGATAGGAATATTTTTGAGTATTTTTAGGAATATTGTTCTAAAGTGGAAAAAAATACAATTTGTTTTTTAGCTGAGCTTGGAGATTACGACCCATATAAGCATACTGCAGGTTATGTGTCAGAGTACCGGTTTGTTCCTGATCAGAAGGAAGAACTTGAAGAAGCCATAGAAAGGATTCATAAAACTTTAATGTAAGAATCACATTTTATTAACTATAGTCAACATGCTGTACATTAGATCCCCAATACTTCATTTTATAACCAAAAGTTTATATTCTTTAGTCAGCATCTCCCCATTTCCCCCATCCCCAGTCCCTGGCAACCACCATTGTAGTCTTTGTTTCTATGAGATTGCCTTTATCAGATTCCACTTCAAATGCTCTCATAGTGTTTGTCTTTCTCTGTTTTATTTCACTTTGAGTAATGCCCTCAAGAACCATCAATATACTTGAGAGTTGCTAAGAGAGTAGATCTTAAATGTTCTTACCACACGAGAAAGAAATGTAATCATGTGACAAAATGAGGGTGTTAGTTAACCCTATGTTGGTAGTCAGTTTGCAATATATGAGTATCAAATCAATACATTGTACTCCTTAAAATTGCACAGTGTTATATATTGTATTTGATATACAACCAAAGCTAGAAAAAAAAATCATGTCTTATGTTACATCATCCATTAAGTATCATCTTTTGCTTTTGGTAGTCTTAAGAAAAGTTTCTAGAATGATAAATTCTTCACATATGCCTTGAACATTCTAGCATTTTTTTCTTTTAAGTTTTTTTTTAAACTGCTTATAACACTAAAATGCTCATAGAAAACTCAAGTAACTTTAAAAATGTAAAGGAGAGAGTAAATTTCAAAACCTAACGTCAATGTATTTTTGATTAATGGCCTTCCAGACCTCTCTTTATGCATAAATTCACATAAAGAAAATTTATTTTGTATAGATTTATGTATGTATGATTTAACATTAATGGAATCATTCTGTATATATTGTTATTTTGCAATTTCCTGTTTTTTCAGTCATCAGTACCTTGTGAAATGTATTCTTCTAGTTCTATTTTAAAACCACAAACCTTAATGTATTCTGGATTGGGTCTGTCTTAAGGATGTAAATTCTTTACAGTTATAAGCAAAGTCCTATTCAGTCTACAGCAATGAATCTGGAAATCATGATGACACCTTGGAGGGTATTATGTTAACACCACATGCACTTCTGAGAATATACACACTCCCCTAGTAGGATTTTCAATTAATGGCCTACAGCATTGAAGTTATAATTTAATTATAGTTATTTTGGTTAAATCCTCTATACTGATTAATTTTGCTTTATTCCCTCTTATGTAACATTCCCTCTTGAATTTGCTTGGTTTCAGATCTATTATAGTTAAGAAAAAAAATGTAGAATTAATCTGGTCAACAAAAAATGTTTGCCTAAAGGATCTGTTTCAGTGAGTAGCAGCAGAAGTCAATTGCTGAATTGTAATCAGAGAAACCAGGCTTTCCATCTTGTATTAGCATGCACCAGAATGCTCTTAAGCCTGATTATAGAGTCCTTCATTTTAAGGTTTCCCTGAAGTGGATGCTAAGAGAGTGCCTCTTATAACATTATGAAGGGCAGTGTGTTTGGCACATTCTGAGAATACTAATTCCAGGAGTTTCAAAGTACAATTACATTTTTGAAATTATCAAGGAGCTTTGGGTAAAGGGCCTTACATGTTTTATGTGATGGTATTGACAGTGTGACTGTTATTTCTAAGAGAATAAAGCTTGATCAAGATTTAGTAGCTTTCTTGTGTCTAATTTGTCATGAACATTCTTTATAGATTTCAAAATTGAGGTGTATTGCTGGATTTTCCAGGGTACCATGGCTGAAACATTGGATGCATCAAAGCAGGATTTATTAATTAAAAAAATTCATAGCTCCTTTTGTTAACTAAAAATCTGTCTCTCTTACACACACACACACACACACACACACACACACACACACACACACACACACA